TCCTCAAGGGCCGCTTCGTTGAGTGTCGCGCCTCGAAGTTCATCATGCCCTCTTTTCGAGCACGTGTCGTGCTGATGGAAACTTGTCAGGCGGCTGAATTGAAAGGTCGTGTCGAGTTTTAAATATCTGACATGAGCCTTCCCTCTTCTTCCGCCTTTCCATTTCCTATCTTTTCAAAATCGTGTCAAAAGGGTCCGTACTTTCCCCAGAGCGAAAATTTTCAACTTCCTTCTTCCTTTCAAACTTCTGACTATTCGTTCCCAGTGTTTTTTAGAAAAATGGCGCCTAAGAAATCCTCGACTTTCGCTCCTAATACCTCTTCTTCCGGTACCGCCTCTTCTGGACCATCATTTCTTTCCGGGACGGGAGTGAACAATTTCGCCGTCGTTTTCGATGCCTGGGTTGAAAGGTTTGCTGCTGGTCGTGCCCAGTTCTTTTTATGCAAAGATGCCATCAGCTTTGCGAATAACCACTGCATATTAGGCCCTCGGTATTTTGACCAGAAATCTGATCAGCTTTGGAACTACGAGGTGCATCTTGTTCGTGCTCCGACGCCGGCCTGTCGCAAAGGGGGTGTTGACTGGTCGAATTGGAGCAAAATGTGTCGAGTGTTGAACTTCGTTGGGCAGACTGGGTGAAAAGGATGGAGCCTCGATACAGGGATCGCTGGCTTGATAACGGTATTTATCAGGCCATTACTTGCTTAGTCGTTCAACCACAGGCCGATTCTCCTCTTCTAGGTTCGGCCCTAGTCTTTTGGAACAGCGCCTCCAACACTTTCGCCTTTGGGGTCGGGCCTATGTCGATTTCCATTCTTGATCTTGCAGTGATCTTTGGACTTCGACCTCATGGGCGGAGTGCTGACTGGTTGGGGGACTTTGAGGATGGCCCTTCTCAGGAGAAGGAGAGAAAGAAGAACCTTGAGGTTCTTATCAGTTTGATAGGTTCTAATCGGGCCTATGGGGCTTTCATGGGGACCTTCATGGATCAGGAGGTTGATTATCCAGACGGGGAGCATGTGATGTTCTTGTTATACTGGTTGAATAGGTTCATCTTCCCCAGTGCTTCTAATTGTATCACCATGGAGTGGCTCCACTTGGCCGAAGGTTTGTCTTCCTACAGGGACATCGCCACTGGTCCCTTGATTCTGGCTTCCATTTACAAAGCTTTGAGGGAGGCGACAGTGGAACCTATCAATCTTAATGTAAAAGGACCCTTATGGATGGTTCAGGTCTGGCTTCAGTGGACTTTTCCTGAATTGCGGGCCCGAAAGCTGCGGGTTGCTTCCAACACCGTGCCTTTGAGGGAATTACTGCTGAGTACTGCTTCTGGTAAGACCACTGAAGAGTGTTTTACCTTCTTTCTATGTCGGAGGACTAGGCATGTTTTCCAGTGGTTGATGAATCTGAAAAGGGGGTCACCTTGGTTTGAAAATCAATCGATTTGTCAGGGTCCTCGAGGTGGAAAAGCCCCCTTGGCCTCTGAGAATATGGACATTTTCTCATGCATGCAGACGCGAGACTTGCCTTGTGGTGGGAGGATGGACTCCAGAAACTACCAGTATGGGGTAGAGGCCTACAGTCCTCAATTTTTCAGCAGACAATTCGGATGCCCCCAAGTGATTCCTGAATTGGACTATTCCTTGATTAATAAGGGTTTGTCCTACAAATTCCCCAAACTAAGTAAGGATGATCTCTTGGGCGTTCGGGCCAAGATTAGAGAATCGGCCCGAATTCTGGAGTTGAGGCCCTATGATCCTGACTGCTACTGTACTCAATCCTTCCAAGTCTAGTGGGATCATTGTTTAAGTAGGTATGGTCCCCTGCACGAGGCATATCCGAGGGCTTTCAAGAACTGTGTCCTTTCGGAGGGATCTCAAGGGTGAAGACAAGCGGATTTTGCTTGAACAGATTGCGGAAGACAACCAGCTATCCCTGACTAGTAAGAGACTTACTTCTGTCTTTTTTCCTTGGCGTGCCTATAATTATCTTTGTCTTCCAATGCAGTTTCGGTCAACTATCAGTCCTTCTGCACGCCCAGCCAATTGACGATTTTGGGGCGGGGGACTGCTGGTGGACTGAGGACCCCTATTTTCGTTCAGCGCAAATAGAAGGAAAGAGCTCCCATTCCCCCTTCTTCTCCCCAAGGTAAAAAAAAATTCGCCTTCTCTTGGATAGGCCACTTTACTCCTGCTTCTAACTTCTGGTCCGATTATTGGTTAGAACAGGTGTTCGCGTGACTGCCAAGAAGAGGTCTCAGCCAGAAGAAGCTGGGAGTGGGGTGAGGGAAGAGGCTCAGCCCAAGGTGGCCTCAAACAAGCGGGCCAGAGCTTCTTCTGTTGAGGCTCCTGAGGCTGCTCCGGTGGGCCTCTAAATTTTCTTGACTTGTCTCTGTTTTTCCTTGGGTTTGCTTACTCTTCTGATTCGTTTCGCAGGTTTCTGCTTCTTCTTCTCCCCTGATGGTACCGCTGCCAAGCACTGTTTTGCCTAGCGATGGGTCCGAGGGAAGAGTTGCTGAAGTTGGCTCTGCTGCTGAGGTAAGCGATGACCGTTTTTTATTTTTTATTTTTTATTTTTTTTATTTTTTATTTTTTTAGATATGAATGACTATATATATGATAAAACTGATACATGGTTCCTTAGGTTGCTGGGCTGGTCCCCCAAAGTATGGTCCGATTAAACGCCTCTGCATAATGATCCAGGGGAAGTATCTTCTAACATGTGGATTTGTTGCAGGTAATTCCAACTTCTTCCATTCCATCTAAGATTATTGGTCCTGAACAAGAGGTGCCTGAGGGAGCTGTTCTTGTGGCAAAGAGCCCTACAGCAGAAATTCCGGCCGAGAAGAATGACCAAGGAGGGAATGCCCCACATGATGATGCCCCCCGGGCCCGAGAAGATGCGTCCGAGATACCGGTTGGCACCCCTACTGCCGAACCTTCTTCTGGTTCTGCGAGTGCGAGGGCACCTGGAGATTCAGGGCCTGGGAGTTCTGACAAAACCTTCATCTCAAATGCAAGAGTGAAGATTTTGTTAGGGAAGTGGCTGGCGCTGCCTTTGGAAGATAAGGTGGCGGACGAGCAAGGTGCCAAAATTCTTAATGCTCTAGACTCCCTCTGCCGTGCCTATCCTGATTTTGCAACATTCTGCTAGACTGCTAAGACCGATTTGGAAACCCTTGTCGGTAAATTCAAGCGCGATGATCCACTGTTGCAAACATCCGATGTTCTTCCTGGCTTGGAGGCAGAGTTGGCGCAAGCCAAGAAAGTGATGGAAGCGCAGCAGCAGGAGTTGAATGAACAGGATGCACTGCTGAAGCAAGTATGTTGGCGTCTGAAGACTTCAGAAGCCCGATTGGCGAGAGTGCTAGTGCAAAAAAGAGAGCTTCAGGATGCAGCGGACCAAATGCTCACAACTCTGTCCTTGGCTAAAGAAAATTTGGATAAGGCGAACATGGATGTCGGGCTAGAGCTGTGGAATGAAAGGCTGAAGAAGATTCGTATTGATCAGCTGCGTGTAGACATGCTGCATTTCTCGGATAAGATCAAGACCCTGCTGGATTTGCTGGTGTAATTTAAACTTGTTTCGGACGCCTTTGTTGATTTTCTAGTCTTTTATTTGCCCTTTAAATGCTTTTGATGATGGATGATGAACTAAGTATGATGATATTGCAAATGGGCTATATAAAATTCCAACAAACCTTTTGTCCATACATGTTCACCCTTGCTGCGGGTAATTAGTTACAACCCTTTAGCAAACAAGATTTTGCACCACGCGTTATCCCCCTTTAGTCATTACTAAGATCGATGCCTGTTGTTTCCCATAAAGAAGGAATAAACTTTTTTAACCACTGTCCGTTTACAGGGTGTTGGTGGAGGGTTCCGTCCCTGTCTTGCTGTTGATAAGCCCCTTTTCCCAGGATTCGATGTACCATAAATGGACCTTCCCAAGTCGGACTCCACTTCCCAAATCCTGACACGTGGGCTCCTAGGGGTAGAATAGCACGCCAGACAAGCTCTCCTTCTTCGAATGTCTTTCCCCGGACCCTTTTGTTGTAAGCTCGAGCCACTGCCTGTTTTCCAACCATTAGGTGGTTTAAGGCCTTGGCCCGAATCGGGCTTAACTCTTCCAATTCCTTCATCATGGATTCAATATAATCTGCGTCATCCATGTCAGGTTGTTTCTCTAGGCGTAGAGATTGCACGTTGATTTCAACTAGCAGAACTGCATCGTAACCATATGTTAATGCAAAAGGGGTAGTACCGATAGATGTCTTTTTCGAGGTCCGATCCTCCCAAAGCGCCTTGGATAACCTTTCGTGCCAGTCCCTAGGGTTGTTCTCAGCCATCTTTTTGATGATGTTGATCAAGACTTTGTTAGTGGATTCTACCTGACCGTTTGCCAGTGGGAAATAGGGACTAGAT